AAACACACCATAATAACATGAATCAAATATGTACTTTATTCATTTACAATAAATGTCATAATGTACATCATTCTGATTGGACCTAAGGGCATACACTGTCTAACACTATGCCTAAATCAAGGATTGAAAATCGAAGTTAGCTTGTCTAAAATTAGGATCAATTTGAGTTCTAGTTAATCCTACTTAATTTGCCTCCCTATGGACCATTGATTGTCAATTAGATGCAAAAACAATTTTCATTTTATGTTAGTTTATTTTTTAATTCTATTTCTATCATTAATAAAAATAAATCTTATCTATCATACTTGTTGTTTATTATGATGAATACATAATATTAGAGATGCACCCAAATGTTGTTTTACAAAATTTCTATGTTTTTAACAATTTTTGTGTCTCTATCTTTTTTGAAGTTTTTATTATTTATTTATGATATCATAGGTTGATCCATTTGACCTAAAAGGTTGAACCATTGACTACTACCACTTGAATAGGAAAATGGTTTTGTTTTTGGGTCAATTTTAAATCTTGTATTTCATTAATTCATTTTCATTGAATAAAAATACTTTTATTTAGCATACTTGTTGTTATTTGATATGATAAATAGATAATATTAGAGATGTGCCTAATTTTTTCACAATTTTTTATAATATTTGTAATATTTATATTTATTTTTAATTTTTTATTATTTAACAATGAGAACATTGGTTAAAAATATTGGATATAGATTTTATTTGTAGAATTTACTGGTGAGAAATAAAAGTACTTATAATTAAGTATGTAAGGAGAGAATGAGAATTAATACCGTAATGAAAGGGAATTTAATGAAGTGGAATTTAATAGTACTTTAAAGTACATATTTTGTCCACACAATTAAAGAGGGACCTCAATTTCATAAATAGAGGTGTTTTTAGTCAAGAAAAATCCACAAATCTCATTTATTTAATGTGCTTTAAATATAAGATTTAATGAAAATAAGTAGGAGTTAATACCTTAAATATAAGTGTTAATGATGAGGAATATATTGAATTTAGTAAAAGTAGTAATTCTTATTATGTTTTTTTCCCTCATAATATAGGGAAACCAAGTTCAAAAAATAAGGGTATTTTTAGTTAAAAAAAATCTAGAATCTAGACCTCATTCACACTTTTAATAGTCGTATATATATGTGTATAATAATATCTAGTTTTTTAATAGTATGTATAGTTTTTTATATGTATAATAATATCTAGTTTTTATAATTGCTATTTTTTTATATATAAAGTAAAAAAGATATTTTTTATATGTATAGTTTTTTGTTTTTATAGGAAGTTTGGCTTACAGTCAAGCTTGAGCCGAGCCAAGCTTGAACTTATGAGCTTTTAAGTCAAGCTGAATTCGTGCTCAAATCTCTAGCTTGAATCAAGCTCGAGCTCGAGCTTCATAGTGTTTTGGCGAACCGAGCTTGAATAGCTAGATATTCAGCTTGGTTTGGCTTGAATTCACCCCTAGTGATGCCCATTTGCCTACAACTATTTTTATCTATTACCCACTTGGCATGTTTTATGGAAGTTAATATCACTTGTATATACTCCATTGCAGATTGATGCCAATCTTCTGTCACAACAATTTCACAAGAGATTTATTAACCAGGTATGAGTTATTTATGGCTTGCATATTTATTTTCTAATTTCAGTTATATGTATTTTTTTGTCAATTATTTGATCTTCTGTTTCTAACCAATGTTTGTTTGAATCTTAGAGTGTCTTCCAAAATTTGGGTGGGTTGTTTGTGAAGCTGTGGGGTTTTTGGGGGATTAGTGGTGATTTGGGATTCTGAAGTGTGGGCTAAGGTGTTTTTTTTTTTTTTTTTTTTTCAGGAGTCGCATTCTGTTTTGTGGTGCTGGATAACTTGGGAGTGAATTGTAGGGTGCTGGTTTAAATGTTTATGGACCTACAAGGGAGGGGGTAAAGAAGAGCTATGGGAGGAATTGGAGGGATTTGATTGTGTGTGTGTNCAAGGGAGGGGGTAAAGAAGAGCTATGGGAGGAAGGGGGGGGGGTTGTTAATGTCTGTCACTGAGTGAGAGGAAAGGGGGAAGGGACAATAGGGTTTCCAGGGCTATGAGGAGTTTCAGGGAGTTTATAAGAAGGAATGGGCTGATTGATTGTAGTAGATTGGCATCTGGTTTTACTTGGTTGAATGGTCAAGACCCACCTATTTTAAGGAGACTAGATAGATTCCTTTGTAATGGAGAATGGGAGGAAAATTTTTCTGACTTGGTTCAGGAAACCCTTACTTTGGCTTTGTTGGATCATAAACCTATCCTCTTGAGAAAATTCCACAAACTTGATGAGCCAAAACCTTTTAGATTTGAAAACATGTGGCTTAAACATCCTCCTTATGTTGCCTTTGTGGAGAAGTTATCATTTTAAAGGAAGGGCTGGTTACATTCTGATGAGAAAGCCTATTATGGCTCTAAAGGAAGATTTGGGAGTTTGGAATAGGGAGGTTTTGGGAACATCTCAAATAAAAAGCTGAGATTCTTAGAAAAATGGCAGAATTGGAGAGATTAGAGGAAAGTGATGTGCTCTCTAGGGAAGGCAAAAGGGAGAAAGAAAGTGTGAGAGAGGAAATTTTGGATGTGATTCACAGGAAGTCATGTGGAGAAGAAATCAAGAGCAATTTGGCTAAAGGAGGGAGATAAAAATACAACATTCTTCCATGCACTAACAAGAGGTAGGAGGAGAAGAAACTTCATCTCTAGATTGAAGGGGGGGAAACAGAGTCATTGATGACCCAAAAGAAGTGATGGAGGAAATTAGGAACTTCTACATCAATTTGTACAAGGCAGCCCCAAATAGAAAGGTATTCTTGGGAGATTTACAGCTTAGAATGATTAGGGAGGGATTGAGAGATTGGTTGGAAAAAGAATTTGATGAGAAGGAAGTTTGGGAAGCAATAAGTATCATGAAGGGTGACAAGGCTCCAGGTCCTGATGGTTTCAATCTTTGTTTCTTCAAGAACTTCTGGCATGTGAGAAAATGTAATGGGAATGATGTATGAATTTTGGTTGGAAAAGTTGGTGCAGAGGAGTGCAAATGGAGCTTTCAAATCTCTAATCCTGAAAGTGGAAGGGGCATCTAGAGTCAAGGAATTTAAACCAATCAGCTTGACCTCATTCCATATAAAATCATTGCTAAGGTGCTTTCTAGAAGTCTAAGATCAGTTCTTCATGAAGTTGTGGGTCCAACCCAAATGGCTTTTGTGGAAGGTAGGCCTATTCTTAATGGAGTGATGATTGCAAGTGAATGTGTTGATTCAAGACTAAATAGTGGACAACAAGGTTTAGTTTGCAAGATTGATATTGAAAAGGCGTATGACCATGCAGAGTGGGGTTTTCAGAAGATGTTTTGTCTAGGATGGGCTTTGGAGGAAGATGGAGAAGCGGGATGTTTGCGTGCATTTACTCAGTCTCTTTTTCAGTCGTTGTTAATGGTTCACCCATACCTCTTTTTCAAGCCCAAAGGAGCATAATACAAGGAGATCCTTTATCCCCCTTGTTATTTGTTCTGGTGGCAGAAGTTTTAAGTTTGTTTGTTGTGCAAAGGAGCAGAAATTGGGAGGTTCGAAGGATTTAAAGAAGGTAGAAATGGAGTCTCCATTGTTCATCTTCAATTTGCTGATGACACTCAGATATTTTTGGATGCCTCGTCTGTGCAAGTGCTGAATCTAAGATAATCCTCAATTTCTATTAAATGCTAGTAGGACAAAAAATCAACTTGAAAAAGAGTGTGATGATTGGGGTGGGTGATATTTCTAAGTCTCTCTTGGAAGACTATGCAACTACCTTAGAGTGCTTGGTGGGGGAGTTCCCTTATACTTATTTGGGTCTCCCTATTGGTGCAAAATATTAGATTTCTTCAACATGGAAGCTGGTTCTTGATAGAATAGATCAAAGACTAGAATTTTGGAAGGGGAAGTGTCTTTCTGTTGGTGGTAGGATAACTCTTATTAAGTGGGTGTTGTCTAATCTCCTAGTATCTTACCTTTCACTGTTAAAAGCCCTAACTTCCCTGATAATTGAAAAAAAATGCAAAAGGAGTTCTTATGGGAGTTAAAGGGATCAGAAAGAAATTCCACTTAGTTAAGTGGGATGAGGTTTGCAAGGATAAGAAAGACAAAGGCCTAGGAATAAGAAGATTGAAGAAGTTCAATAAAGCTCTTTCGGGGAAATGGTTGTGGAGATTTGGTTTGGAGAGGGAGGCTCTTTGGAGGAGGGTGGTGGTTTGTAAATATGGGGTGATTGGATTTGGGTGGGATGCTAGAGAGGTGAATTGGAAAGCAATTATGTACTTCCAATCAGCTTTTCTCAACCTTGTATCCTTCAAGGTTGGTGATGGATCAACAATCAAATTCTGGGAAGATGATTGGCTGGGTATTGGAAAGTTTTGTGATCTTTGTCCTCGGGTGTATAGGTTGGAGATGAAAAATAGCTCTGTTGTGGAGAATTTTGAGATTATTCAGGGTAGAGCTGTGGTACCCAAAGTTCAGGAGATCTCTCTTTGATTGGGAAATTCAAGAGTGTGTGGGTCTACTTGCAAGACTTCAATCAACTGAAAAAAAGGTGGAAAGGAAAGATTCAAGACGGTGGAAAGAGTCTTGAAATGGTTTGTTCTCAGTAAAATCTTTTTACAAGGCTTTTCCAAGGTTATGGAGGTATCCCAGACCTAAGAGGAATTTGGGGAAACCCTGTCCCTCCAAGGGTGGAAGCTTTCTCATGGTTAGTTGCATTAGGCAACATTTTGACATTAAATCATGTTCAAAACTGAGGTTTTCACTTAGCTAGCAGATACTATCTTCGTGAGAATTCTGAGGAGAATGTCTATCATTTGTTTGTTGAGTGCCCCTACTCAAAGTTCTTATGTGGTTTCTTCTTTGGTCTATTCAAGACTAATTGGAGGTGCGTTCCTTTTCTCCAATTGGCCAAGTGTTAGTGGAAATGTCAAGGCAAAGATTATTTGGAGCTGCGTTCCTTTTGCTGTCTGTTGGGAACTATGGAAAGAAAGACGGGGGAATTTTTGAAGAGAAGGCTTGAGCAAGGGACCTTATCACCTTATTATGCAGTAAAAGGATAATGCACTGGGTGCTCATTCTCCCAGAGTTTGAAGGAATCACAAAAAAAGACCTTGGTTTTGGATTTTGGAAAATTTTGGAATTGGCTTAAAGTTTCTCATGTTTTTGGCTTTTGTACTTCTTTTCTTTTTCCATTGAGTGTTCTCTTTTGTGGCTTTGTATCTGTAGTGATACCTCATTACTGTTTGATGTACTCTTTTTTTTTCTATTAATAAATTTTGTTTTTATTTATTACCAAAAAAAGTTTAAGATATCTGCAACTGTACTCTCATTATTTGTATGAGATCTTGGATCAATACACAACATAGTAGATATCTGTGTTACAACCCATATTGTTCTACTTGATTGCAGTGATATGGTGTGATTAATACCTTCTGAAAGGATTGCAACAGTCCAGATGCTTCTTTCGTTTAAATGAATATCTTCTTTTTTCTTAGATGGAGCATTTTAGCATTGTATCCTTGCCAAGGTTCAACTAAAGCTGCACACTTGTATTGAAAAATGATTGTGTATACCAGCATGCAATGGCCTTTTATCCTCCTCCAAGCTCTGGCTCAAAAGCTTTCACACTAGCTCATGCTTCCATTTTCTCTCTTGCTGTCTCTCAAGTTGGGGATGTGATTGCTATCATTCAGTTCTGTTGGATGTGCAAAAGAAAATGAGAAATAATTCATTATCAAAAGAGGCCAGGCTTTGCAGAGCAGACTTTGAACTACATCTCCCAATCAAAACTGCTGACCTGACCTTGTTTGCAAGGTTCTCTTGAAATATGGTAGAATGTGGAGTTTAAGATTCTCTTAGAACAAGAGAGATCATGTAAACATGGGCATAATGGCCTGCTTTGACTTGGGTAGTTAGCCTAACTAATCTTGAGATCACTTTTTCTCCTTGGTCTTGACAATTTTGTGGTGTTTTTTTTTTCTTTACCGGGGGAGGGGGGGGGGGTTTGAAACAATGCTAGTGCTTTGATTTTAGGGTTTTGTTGATGAGTCTATGTGTCCTTTCCTTCTCCTTGGAGAGACATAAACTTTTGTATCCAAATTGAATAATTTGTTCTTATGAGTTCCAAGTTCTATTGCTGCTTTGGTGGAATTGTTGGAATAGGGATACTTTGCAGTTATTGTTTGGTTTTTGTTTCCTTCACTTAATTTGGGCTTTTGATTTCTCATGGTATCTTCCTTCACCTGTTAATTGCCAATTAAAATTTTCCCTTGGTTGAAATTCCAAAGGAAAAATAAGAAAAGTTAATGAGCTTTTAAAGGCAAGGAGTCATCTTTGGAAGCTTTGCATGAAAGAGTAGCTTTTCTTTTAAATTCTTGGTCCCTTTCTGCAAAGGAATTCAAAGACAAGATCCACACCATTGATAAGGGATACCTCTGGAATCCTCTCCCTCTTTTGATTGCTCTGCATAAGCTTTGAGGAATCCTCTCCCTCTTTTGATATTAACACAATACCTTTACTTTCAAAAAAAAAAAAAAAACAGGTTACATGCATAAAAATATGGTGGATATTCTCAGA